GAGTCCGTTCTTGCTTGGGGGCTTGCTGCGGTTTTTGGGATTCACAGAGACACATCTACAGGTGTTCAAACACCAGTGGGGCTACCTGCCAATCCCTTCCGTTTTTCTCCAAGAAGACAGGACAACACATGTTCCAACGCCTGGTAGACTAAGTGAAAAGCATCCTTGCTGCCGCCCTTGTCAGGATGAACCTGCAAAGCTCGTCGCTTGAAGGCCAACTTGATCTCCTCAAGTGTCCTTGGATCATTTCAACATGATTTGAGATTCACCTCCCACCAGCTTGACGTGGAACTTGTGAAGGTGTAGGTTGTAAATACGTTAACCCAAAAGGATGTAGTCTGAGGCTTTGTTCAGGGTCCATATTAATATATATATATATATATATTAATAATTCAAAGGAGTCGCTCACGGAACCTGAAATAGGAAGGTCCTTGGTCAGTGATTTCACCTCCAACATCTGCGGTCATGTTGAATTCAGTTTGGCTTTTGCAAGTAGGGTTCAGCCGCCCGCAAAGTAAAGTCAGTTTACCGCCGCAACAGATTCCATTGGATTCCAAGGACCAAAAATGTTAGATTCAACTAAGACCATGTTCCGCCAAAAGTTCATCCAAGCATCGCATCACGCTCCACACACAGAACTCGATAAAGCACATCCGGCCCCTCCACCGGCATCATCCCACACAAACCGTGCTCGGAACATATACACAGTGGGCGCGTCACATGGGGCGGCTGTTTTTGGCGCAAGCTGTGAAAGGCTACCGGGTGAAGTGGTCGAAAACCTTAGGACTCAAGGAATTGTCTACTATCCAAAAACCAAGATCTGGAACTGCTCATGGATGGTCACTTGACGAATTGGCCGGTCACATGGCACACTGGTATCTGAAGGTGTTGTGTTCCACCATGCTGGAATGATTCCCTACCAATTGATGCTGAATGCGGATGGCAGATGCTTCCAACAAATCGCGCAGTCGCAAAAGGAACGTTGGCAAGCTGATTCCCGAAAACACACTTGTGATATAATTTTGGGAAGGAACTCGATCACAAGTCGTTTGAACACATCCCATGGACGAAGCCTGTGTATTTCTGTTTCCACACCCTCCCAGAGGTGCGTGCCTGGAAACCACATGCAGCTGGATCCCCCCAAAAGGTTGTTTAAAACTGTCGATACTCGCCCACAACTGCAACTGGGGCTCCAACTACCTCCGTTTCGAAGTTGGTTAGGGTGGGTTCGGGGGGTCTAACCACCTTCTGAGGATATGGTTGGAGCCTTAGGGCTTCTGAAGTCAAACCACGGCAACTTCACCGAGGACCACGACAGCAGCCGTCCTCCAGCACCGCGACCGGCGCGGCAGCACTGTGCGTCTCCGTCAGCACGCGCCACGCGGCACGTGGAGAGGAGCAGCCTCAGGCGTCGAAGACCTTCGTTTTGGGGTGACCGAGCACCGCCCCAGAAGTGGTTCGCAAAACGAGCAATTGATGTTGCTTATAACCAAATAAATCTTTGAATTAGCGTTTGGAGTATAGCATTTCTATCAATGTTTTATTGCAATCTTATATAGACCTCCAATACATTCCTAAGCCCAGGTCACATATGCTCGAGATCAGAGCACGTACAAAGGTCGGCCAACGCCTAAAAACGACACGGAGCGGTCGATGAGCACCGGACTCTGCAGAATGCACAAGGGATGCAAAGGAAGGTCGTCTTGTCTTGTAGTTACCACGGGACAAGGCCATTTGGGCTCTTTTGATTGCCCAATGAACAAATCTAATTAAGGCTTCTCCTGCTCCTGTGTGCCAATGTGTTGCAACCCACCTTGACCATGGTGAGTCTTCATTGTTTGCATCAGCCGTTCCATGGTATAGAGGTGCGGGATGCCCCGCTATCCCAGATCGCAATGCCGGGGTTTCAATGGGAATTTCGCTGCTCAAGTCACTGGTCTGGAGGACATACTCGGTCAAGAACTGGTGGTCCCTTGATCTCCTCCGTAGTCTAACGTGCAATGCACAGTGTCAGTCTGATTGGGAACCTATCCACATCCTTTGCGGCGTTCCAGGGTGAAGTTCCCCTGTCTCCGTCGCCAGTGGAGATGGTCCAGTCCTGACTCATCCAGGGTTGAACGCCCCAACCGGCCCAACCATCCGATCCAGTGATCATTCGCAGGACTTGAACGTGATCAGGGTGATTGGTCATGGGAGGTCCAAGCCAAAAACATCCAAGGTACCCAAACTATATCAGTTCTGCTCAGGTGCAAAGAAAAGTCCTATTGCAGTGATTTCAGAGTAGATGGCACTGGCACCCACAGATGACTAAAAAATCTGGAGATCCAAAAAACACCACCAAACTGTGGGGATTGAGCCATCTACTCTGATTGAGCCATTTACTATCTATCCTATTACCCAGGAAAACGGTGGATGATGGTTCAGGCCTTGCGGGCCTTTCCATCTCTAAAACATCGTGGTCTTCTTGTTTACTGTTACAGGATATATCTGGGACAGACCCCCCACTGATGGCCCACTGGTTTGACTCCACCGGACTCCACCGGACACCACCGGACTCCACATCTCAGCAAACGGGCGGCGCGTCACATCGCATCTCTGCCTCGGCAGCTCGCACGGCCGAGGATGAGTGGCCGGCCCGGCAAATCGGAGGAATCCGACCGTTGAAGGCAGAAACGACGTTCGTATCCCTTCAGAAACGACGTAACGACGCGTTTTTTTTGGCATTCGTTCGTAACGATGGCAACGATGGCATCCAACCTACGACCGTGATGGCCTCCTTGGAAAGAAACTATACTAGTATCCCCATTAACATTCCAAGGAGGCCTGTATACAGGGCGTACGCCCACCCATTTCATAGAGGACATGTTGACGGGGATCTACGTTCGTAGCGTCCTTGTTACGTTCGTAGCGATGGCCTCCAACCTACGACCGCGATGGCCTCCCCCGTGCGTAGCGTCCGAACGCTACTAGTAGAAACAAGAAAGTTCCAAGCTGCCTGGATTGTCCAAGCTGTTTCAGTTTAGCACTAGGCCTTGATGGGAAGATGTTCCAAGCACTCTCTGGATGTTCAAGTGGTTTTCTCTCCAGCAGGTAGTTTTGCCACTTGTCTCGGATCCCGAAAAAGGGAAACTCGTTGGTTTGCTGATGCTTTTTCTCCGGGTGTTCTTTCATTGGGATGGCTTCGGGCCTGGTTCTTCGCGCCAGCTCGCTCGGACGGAGACAGGAGTCGGGTGGGTCACGACCCATGACCCTCCAGGAACTGACCATCCAGGTCATGCAACCACTGAACTTTCTGACCAGCAAAGCTCTCATCTGAGCTCTCAAGTCTCCCCCACGGCAACGTTTTGGCGCCTCTCACCATCGGAAGGCGGCTCACCATCCGGTGGCCACAAGTCTGGCCCTTTGCGAAGCTTGTACCCACAACTTCCGTTTTCGCTCGACTCTTCATATCATAACGCCTGTGAATCCAACGCTTGCAAGATTTTCAAAACATATATGAAACGCAAGCAAACAAAAAAAGAAGGAACGCTTATATATAACAATGAACAAACGAAACGTTTCTGCACATCAGACAAATATGAGCAGTCACTCAACTGGTCACGACCCACTCCTGGTCACGACCCCCAGGGTCTCGGCATCGCCCTTGGTCGAAGCTCCCCCAGGTGACCGATGGGCCCCAATCGAAGGCGCCCCACGAGTTTGAAACCCCAAGAGTTTGAACGCAGAGTCTGGCCAGCAGTCTGCCAAAAGGCCGAACCTCCCGATTCGGGATGCTGGATTGACCCCACACAGCAGGTCTGGACCAAATCTTCCGAAACGAGTTGGGTGGGAGAGTCTTGGATGCTTCTTCCCCTGCCCAAAAACATGGGGCCTTACCGATTCGCGCGACCGATGACCGATGCGCGAGTTGCGCGGCGTACGGTTCAGTTGCACCGGGCCAAGGTGCTGTTGGGGGAGCGTCTTGATCCACCGGAAGGACTCCGATCGCCACTCCTCCTACGTCTTCGCAGAAGAAGGTCTTAAATCGTCAGTGCTTCGAGGGGCTGAAGAGCAGCGAGAAAGGCAGTGCTTTGAGGGGCTGAAGAGCGGTGAGAAAGTCCGCGTGAGGATAGTTGGGATTGGTTGGTCGAAGGATATGCAGACACAGCTAGGTGCACGAACAGCACAGGTTTTGTGACAAAAGGGGCTCCAGCAAGTGCTATAGTTTGGCTCTATCCGATTGCCAGGAAAACAGCGGATGATGGTTCAGTTCCAGGCCTGTCCATCTCTAAAATAGATCAACATAGTGAATGTTCCTGTTTACTTTCTTCCCTGTTGACCAGGTTTACTGGGACAGACCCGTTCGCTCCTAGTGCGACCTCGACCGAGCCCAAACGAGCCGCCGCGTCCTGACTCTTCTCAGGCGTCCTGACGTGGCCGTGGGCGTCGCTTCGGGACCCTCAAGACGTGGACAGACGATTACAGTAGCAGGCACAGGATCGCTGGCAGAGGCCCTGCATCGCGCTTCCTTTGGTTCTTAGATTCCTTTCGGATCGCTTTTCACCCCCAAGCAAAACAGACTCCCACCGTTGATTCCCATGGTTCTTTCCTTTTCTATCGGCTTCAGCCGTTTCTTTCAGACAACGGCCGACTGTGATGCTTCTAAGTTCCGGTCGAAAACAAACCCCGCGGTCCAGGTGATGAAATGAGGAGACTCATACTCATACTCAGTTCTGTTGACATGGAACCATATGGCTAACCAGGACATAAAACCAGGACAGCCTGGCTACTCTTGTAAAAAATGAACAGAATTTACGACCAGACAGGTCAATCTACCAGGGAGGTCACGGAATTCCAGGCTTTGACTCACAGCCAAAGGTTATACCTGAGATCCGAGGTTGGAAGTTTCTACAAATGTTTTGAGAACTGAGGCTGAGAAATCAGCAGCTCCGAAACGCCGGCCAACCCAAGGATTTTCCTGCACGTCACTTCTCAGAGGATCGGTAGCCCGATCCCCGACTGGAAGAAGGTCATGGCGAGCTTGTGTTTGATGTGTGCATCAAGACTGGTCACCACCTATCGGTCCCTTTTTGTCCCCAATCACCACCTATCAGTCAGCGCATGTTTAAGGTGGATCATGTACTCAGTCCCGCACTACTCAGTACATGTACATCTCAGTGTGGAATGAAATGGGAACACCAACCAAAGGTACGATGTACCGGGTTTGAGGGGGTCTACCGGTCTACCCTAGAAGGCAACAATGGGTTCGGATGTGTCAGTTTGTATACCACATGTTGGTTTGGACTGTTTGGTTGCATAGAAACGAATACCTAGTGCTATAATACACGAAACACTACGAGTGTTTGGCCGGTTTGCAACAGTTGAGCGCTACTATAAGGTAGTAGAGCCTTTCTTTAGCCCAGCGACCCTGCGCGCCTCACCGGCTGCACATTTGCGCAAACCGGCTCCCGTGCCCTCAGATGGTCATCGGGTGGAAATGGATGGACTCTCCAGAATGTACTCTTGATCAACAACCTCTCTCATACTGGAGTGTATGAAAATAGGGAGCCATCCCAAAGACCCCCTTGAAGCAGGAAAATTGATCAGTCTACCCATTGGTTGGGTGTCTCCCTATTAAATATGCACCCATATGAAGGGGATATACAATCCATCACTTTGGGGGGCATGATGAATCACGCGTCCACTTCCAGGACTGGCAACAATTGGTTTGCCCTTTTGAGTGGGGAATGACCCAGCCGCAGTTATAGGTCTTGTCACTGACTAAATACTGTACCGGTCAGCCCATCCAGAACACCATAGCAGGGTCACCTGGGCAACTACACGCGATATGACTCAAGCGCGGGTTTCCGTAGGTGTTTTAGGGCTTTGTCACTGTTCATAAAGAATACACGGAAAAACGGGAAGTGAAGAGAATGTACATGAATTTGCTATGTGTGCTCTGTGCTTCTGGCCACGGACAGATGTGCCACGGTCAAAACTACTGAGGACCATCCCGCAAACCTTAGCACAATTGAGGATCTGTCCAAATGAAATCTTTGCATCGGATGCTTCGTTGCGTCCTGATTTTCTGGATGTCCCTGCTTGTAACGAGCCTGGCCACGAACAAAAAGGACAAGTGAACAGTAGCTTCCCTCAAGCGAAATTTGCACTGAACCCACCTTCAGCTCACTTTAGAGGAAAGCAATCCAGCCAAGGAACCGGTCATCAACCGGATCAACCCCGACAAATCTTCCTGCCACAGATGATCCGGTCTGCTTAGCTCGCTCCCGAGAAAAATACACATCACAACAGGTTTGTGCTTCCGCTGAGCCTCTTCAGGCAGGAACCCTAAATTTTCAGGGTTTGCGCCACTGTGCGCCAACACCGGTTGTTTATTTAGGGGTTTAAAATTTGCAAAGCACCATCAAACACCTTAACCCTAAACCTTTAAACCCCCTAACCCTTAAAACCAAGGACCCCTAAACCCCTAAACCCTAAACTCTTGAACCCCTAAACCACCCTTTGGGTTTAGGACTTTTGGTTATAAGTTTAAGCCTTAAACCCCTGACTGCGAAGAATAAAACTATTCCAGTCACTCAATGTATACCAGCGATCTTCTCCAAATCGATGTAGTACCAATAATTGAACTCAAAAATCCACGGGCGATATGGCAATTCAAAGAACGGCCGATTACGGTTCTTTGATTTCTTTTCCATCTTGAGCCAAACATTATCATTCGAGTCTTGATGAATTAGAGCCGCTCATGGAATGCTGCATCACGAACGAAAAAGCTTCTCACTGCACTTGAAACACAAAATGAACGTTCCGAATCCGAAGCTCTCGTCTCAACTTCTTTTCACATCAACCTCAAACCGTCTGGTTCGTCTACAAAAACCAAACTCTGCCTATCCTTACCCTCTAATGCATTTTCCAAAAGAAACGGGCAAAGATCTACAGCAAAAACAATCTTTGAGAGAACTTTGATTGACTTTGCTCTAAAGACTTTCAACTCTGTTTCATCATCTTTGTCAAGCTTACAACACACAACTGGAGCTCTAGATCCATACTCATATCCGAGAAACGCGGCCGGAATGAATCGAGGAGCGACTTCGACTCAGTTCAGCACTTCTGCAAAACACACGGCTCCAAACATGGTTGACTTGAGGGGTTGTCGGTCCTGTCCGGTTATGTGTTGAACAGGGGTGCGTGAACCCCCGAACACTCTGTGGTGCTGGTTGTGCATAGTTGCGACATACATACCGAACTAGATACGGCAGAGTTTCCGAATTGACCTTAAGGCGGAAACCTGAATCACACATGTCTGTTTCCGGACACGCCAGGCTTTCTTTCAGCACCCGGACCGCTCGCTCAGCGTGCCCAGTACTCTCTGGCGACTGCGGTGCAGACTTCTCCAACTTACATGGCAAAACGCCATCTAGCAAGCTCGTCAACGCAGGCTCAGCATCAACACGAACCGAAACGACCGTCGAAGACGGTCCGACAATTCCCACAGACCTACCCCAAGCTCGAATCTCGTTCTGCACAAGCTCACGGTTCGCTACATCTACCTTACATACCCGAGTGCGCCAGACCCCAACTCAGCAAGCGCTAGAATCTTGATCTCACCTACAAAACAAAAGTCAGCTTGCACTTCCATCGATCGGACGGCTTTGTCTTTCCGACTGCGCCGAAACACTCCCTTGGCTCCCACACAGGCTGGACACGATGGGTGATAGGTGGAAGGCCATTCTATGCTTCAGACCGTGCTCAAAAGCGATTTTGAGGATAACGCAAGTAAGGCCGAGACCGTCCCGTTGCCCGGAGCCACGTCCGTGCAAGGCTGTAGCCAACCGTCCTACGAGAGTTGGTGGTGAGTGCGACTTCGCAGCCGTTTGCACCGTTTAAGGCCATGGCTCGACGAACCCTTGGAGCCAATCCGACTCAAAGAATAGACTTTGGGGTGAAGTAAGGTCTAGCCTTGTCCAACGACAGGGCCATATCGACTTCCATAGCCTCTTGGGACTTCACGCTCTTTCTACTGCTACTACTCACGCTTGCAGGCGATCGATCTACAGATGGACTACGTTCATTCTCACGGCACTTGACCCACGGACAGCACGCCCACAACGTGGGGTAACAGACCAGGGACCCGAGCGACAACACACAGCTGTCTTTCCTCATCGCGAACGTCCATCCATGACGTGTCACCTGGTGAGCGGAGAGGAGGTTATGTTCCACAGGTGCCACTAGAGCTCGAACTACAACGAAACGGTGCACGATCGACTCGTTTTGGCGGAACTTATAAGGGTAAGCGAAGGCATGCTTCACGGTCAACTGACATCCTTTCACCCGAAGCTGTAGTGAACACCAAAGCTGGACTGATCAACCTCTCCTTCAACACCTCGTAGCGACTTAGGAACTGAGCTCCTACCACACTTCTAGACCATCTATCAACCACCAACCTCCTAGATCCATAGGGGTCTCAATAGAGCTAAAGAAAAACCCTTCTAGAACACCTCTAGGTCACTCAAGCTGGGACTTACTCTCTTTGGCTTTCTCTTTGGCTTTGGCTGGTAGGCTCAGGACAAGCATGGATCACCACAGTGTTCTACACTAGTCGCGATGGAATCTCTCGCAAGACTTTCGGGCATCATGTCTGCTTCATCGGTATTGGGCTCTAGCTTCAAAAACAGCTGACTCGTGTAGAGGCCTATCTGGACACACAACTGCAAAACTAGCTCAACAGTCTTCAAACACACCTGCCAAACTGGTCTCGAATTCACAAACTTCTGATGCAAAAAAGGCCCCAAGTTCACGAACTTCTGATGCAAAAACGGTCCCAAGTTCACAAACGCTTGAAACAAAACTGGTCTAAAGTTCACGAATGTTTGAAGCGACTTCAGGAAAAACATAAGACAGTGTAGCTTCAGGAAAAACGTGAAACTGGACGAATCAAGCTCTAGCTTACTTGGCTTCTTGGACTCTGTCCCAACTCTGGCGGATGCGTGACAGGCTCGACCAGATGCTCAAACACAGGTGGCCCGTGATGAACCCTTGCAGGAGGCATCGGAGAAAAGAACGGATAGAAAAATTCCCAGTCTCACAAGAACTTGCATCTAAACTCCTTTACTGGGTTGGCTTCAGAAAACTGGCTTCTGGAGAACTTGCTTCTAGCTCAACTCGTTCGGTGACATCAACTGCATGGTCAACGGTGGAAAAAGACGTCTCTAGCTCAAGGTTACAGTTCACAGTACAAGACTCTGCATCTACTCCATGTAATGTTGGCATGAGTGACTCTGTAACCAAAGAGCTCTACCTCTACTGCATCTCTAGAGCAAACAGGCTCTAGCTCAAATTCACCAAGCTCTAGTTCAGGCTCTAGATCTAGTTCAAGACTCACATCCTCTGAGGTTCCACGATGCACAAACTCTCTGGGGCTCCGGATAGGTTCTCGACGGCGGACGAACGATTCGAGCGCCTTGCAGGCAAGAAGGTGACACGAACAATTCGAGCACCTTGCAGACAATTAAGAAGGTCCACTGTTCGTCCGACAACTGACATGTCTGCTCACTAGTGGCCTTTTACAATACAAACCACGTTCTGAAGACTCAAAAGCTCTAGTGCCAACAGTTCCGATTCGCTCAACACATGCGAAGCTCCAAACTTCTCACATTCGAACTGCTCACGTGCACAACTGTCTAGCTTACCATCCAACTCTGGAAAATTGAGATCTACTATCTCACAACTCTCTTGCTGTTCAACCGGCTCGGATTCGGAAAACGAAGCGGCAAAACAAGGCTTTCCGGCAAGTTCAACAAACATGCTCAACCTAATCTCACCCTCTTGTTCACTCCAAACAGACTGTTCGTCGTCTTCAAAAACATGGGCATACTCAGCTTCGTCATCTACCCCTTCCGGCTCTTGCTCTGAGGCTCCATCACCCTCATCGGCGGCGACTTCGGCTGCTCTCAAACCTTACCTTTGCCACCTTTCTTGGATTTACCTTTACCTTTGCTTGAGCCTTTCGAGGACGAACCACTAGGCGAGGTCGCTGAACCCTTCGCTGAACCCTTGGCTGGCTTTCCTTTTCCTTTGACACTGGTATTTCTCAGAACCCTTCCGAGGCGTGCCCTGACGTGACTGTGGATGACTACTTCCATCCTTGCAGTCCCTAGCATAGTGGCCCTTACGATTGCACTTCCAACACACTACGTTGGACAGGTCACGAGGCTCACTCGCGCTAGCGGACCCGGCTGAGTTGAACGCAGACAACGAAAGTTGCGGCACCTAGTCCGTTCAAAATACTTGATCGTACTGGCACGTGCTTCCGACCATGTGTCACCCGCATGCAGCTGTAAGTACGCTCTAGCGTTCTCATCTACATTGAGCAACAACAAGCGAAACTTCTCCGAATCGGGTAGGGACAACTCTCCACGCGTCGGATCGGTGATTGTCTGCAACAGGCGATCATACAAGTAAAACTCGCTCTCCAACGCTTGCACGGTCTCTTTAGCATCTAGCTTGGAAGCCCTGCTAACACGGTAGTTCAGGTCAAAATGGCAAACTCATTCTTCAACTGTCTCAGCAAACCATACCCGTCTGAGGCGCCAAACCAATGTTGACTCTCAAACAACCTAACGATCGTCATGACTTTTTCTAGATCCCGCAAAAGCTTGCTTCAAATGAAGAACAACCTCTGTGACCTCTCTTGTACGGCTACCGACGTGACATCTGGAACAGTCCTATCTGCCAAAACTAGGGCAATCTCATTGTGATACGCAGGGGCCAACGTGCTAAGCCAACTCACCAAGCTCTCCGAAAACAAACGGTCGGGTAGTCCACTTTCCAGGGTCACATGTCGGCGTGCTAGGCATTAGCTTCGAGTCAACTGCTTTGAACGGATTCCCACTCGAGGTTCCGACAGATCCACCCCCAGTCGGGCCTGGGCTTGTCGAACTCACTGCCGTCGCTACCGAAGGCACGACATTTGCATTCATGCTCTGGGTCTGTCGCTGGTGCATCATTTGCTGTAACATCTGCATCAACATGTTGTTCTGCTGTTGTAACTGTCCTACTTGCTGCTGTAGCAACATAACAACTTGGTCAGACTGACTCGGCACAGTTCCCACAGGCTGACTTCCAACACCTCCACCTGACAAACCTGCCAAACCTGACCCTGCCAAACTAGGCACAGGCCCTGCAACTCCTGAGGTCCCGCAAGCTCCCTGCGGCCACGTCGGGCCTGGGCTCGTCGAATTCACGAACTGCGTCAGCGGATGTCCCGGTGGGGGAGGTGGAATTCCAAACTGACTGCCAACGTGAACAGGCCTATTTCCAGACTGCACAGTTGCACTTCCAGGCTGCGCAGGTGCGTGTCCATGTTGCACAGGTGTGTTCCAGGCTGTACATGAGCCTGCAACGACATCAACGCTACCTTGCTCAACACTCTGTGGTTCTACAGCTCCTCCTACGTCACCAGGACCCTGCAGACACCCTCCTTCTACTGAGGCTGCACTTGACTCTAAACCTGGCGGTCCACACAAACCTCCACTGCTAACCTCTGGCGTTCCGACTGCCACTGTGTAATGACCTCGGTCGTCAGTCGCTGTCACGTCAAACATCTGTGGCTGCGGCACATTCAACTGCGGTGCATTCAACTCTGGACCCTGACTTTCAGTCTGCGCACCTGGCGCTACCTGCTGACCTGCAACGCCTGTAGGACCCTGCACTCCTTGCACTACCGGCCGACCTACAACACTGTGTTGCCTTGCGTACCTTGCGCTACATGCTGAGCTTCAAGGTCACCAGGGCTGTACATTGTGGGACACTCTTGTAGGGCACTCTTGTGGGACACTCTTGTGGGACACTCTTGTAGGAAACTCTTGTGGGACACTCTTGTGGGACACTCCTGTAGGAAACTCTTGTGGGACACTCTTGCGGGACACTCTTGTGGGACACTCTTGTAGGAAGCTCTTGTGGGACACTCTTGTAGGACACTCTTGTGGGACACTGTTGCGGGACACTCTTGTGGGACACTCTTAAGAGACACTCTTGTGAGACACTCTTGCGGGACACTGTTGCGGGACACTCTTGTGGGAGACTCCTGTGGGACACTCATTTGGGACACTCTTGTGGGACACTCTTGTGGGACACTCTTGTAGGACACTCTCGTGGGACACTCTTGTGGGACACTCTTGTGGGACACTCTTGTTGGAAACTCTTGTGGGATACTCTTGTAGGACACTCTTGTTGGACACTCTTGTAGGACACTCTTGTGGAACACTCTTGTGGGGCACTCTTGTGGGACACTCTTGTGGGACACTCTTATAGGACACTCTTGTGGGACACTCTTAACTCTTGTGAGACACTCTTGTGGGACACGGTTGCGGGACACTCTTGTGGGACACTCTTGTGAGACACTCTTACGGGACACTCTTGTAGGACACTCTTGTGGGACACTCTTGTAGGACACTCTTGTGGGACACTCTTACGGGACACTCTTGTTGCACACTCTGGTAGGACACTCTTGTGGGTCACTCTTATGGGACACTCTTGTCGGACACTCTTGTGGGACACACTTGTCGGACACTCTTGCGGGACACTCTTGTCCCAACGAACTCTTTGCAATGACCTAGGAAGCGGAAGCTAATCATCTCCGTGTGCCTGCTTCTACAACTATCGATTTCTGTTCTCACCTTTCAGCCAGCCAACAAGCTAGCCTTTTAAATAAACATGGTCTCGATCTCCTCGGAGCCGGAGCTGGTGACTCAGATTCTGACTCGGTCTGAGGTCGTGGAGGGAGCCTTCGAGTCTCCCAAGTTTCGGAGTACCCTGGCGGAGGGTAACGAGGTTGCTGTGGTGAAAGCGCTCTTGTACACCTCACGGGTTCGTGCACGCTCACCTCTTCCTCT